ACACACACACACACACACACACACACACACACACACACACACACACAGTGTAGCAGACATACTCGCACACATACATCCTGTTTTTGTGATCAGAGGGCAAACAGGGTACCCAAACAGCAGGATATCCTGGGGCTGACTGACAAAGAAAAAGTAAAAAGGAAGAGGAAGAGAGGCTGATTATTGTCGAATATTTGCATTACTGCTAAGCGGTTTCTGTGAGTTCATTTGGCTTTTTTTTTTTTAAATAACTGATAAGTCAATAGGAGACACTACAATTACAAGTCAAAATAAGTTGACACAATTGTTACTCAGTGGCCTGAGGCAACTGTTTACCAGGTATGTTACCAGGCTACTAATGATTACTTTAGAGCAAACATAATTGAGAGGTACTAAATTGCTGTTTTGTAAAGAGGACGCAAAGCCTTAGAATTAGAGTCGAGGATGTTGTTCAAATCATAATTCATGAGCGACTGTCAGCCAGTTTCTATGCTTCATTCATCCCTCCATAACTCCGCTCTTTCCATTCATTAGTCACTGTTCTCTCCGCTGAAATAACTCCGCAGACAGTCACCTTGATACTTCTTATTACTCTCGCTCTTCCACTCACTTATTATCTGCCGTCTGTGGCTCAGTCACTTTCTATCAGCTGTCTCTCTGTGTGTGTGTGTGTGTGTGTGTGTGTGTGTGCGTCTGCCTTTTCAACCCTCTTACTTTCTCAACTTCCTCCTGAATCAATATTCTTGATTTTCTCCCCCGTCTCTTCCCATCTGCACTTCTCTGCCTCGTTAGTGTGTGTGTGTGTGTGTGTGTGTTGTCTGAAAGAATACAGAACGCTTTTGTTAAAAAGAAGATTGAAACGGACAGCAATGACATGTTGCAAAAAGGTCATTTGTGTGTGATGTGTTAATGTGTAAGAGAGAGTGGGAAGATAAAAGAGAAATCGTCACTTTCTTCATCGCTATCCCTCTCCTGTTCTCAGACTTCTTTTCCCCTCTATTAACCTTGATAACAATGAATGTAGATCACATAATAGTGCCATCTTGGATCCATTAGAGACAAAAAGATAATTGATAAGTGGGCTTTAATGGACGTGTGCACGAGCTATTGCTATGTGAGGTATGTGCCAAGGTATGGAAGGAAGAGAGGATGAGAGGAATACAGAGAGAGGAGGAGATGAAGACGGAAAGAAGACAAGATGGAGAGGAGAAAATGTAATTACAATTTCAAAGCACTCTGTTTTGAGTGTGGTTTTACATTTGCAGAGTTTCTACTGTGGGTAGACTGCTTCAGATCTGATGTCTCAACTGAACCTGAAAAATTCACATTTTATTTAGAGAAGACATGAAAACCACCCATAATGTTACGGCTGATTTACATAGAGAGAGAGAGAGAGAGAGAGAGAGAGAGAGAGAGAGAGAGAGAGA